GCTGGCCAGCTGGGCCAGGGCCAGGATCCAGGGCAGCGAGAAGCTCAGCGCCATGGTCCGTGTCGTGGAGGGTGGCAGCGGGCTGAAGGTGGTGGCTCTGGCGCGGCTGACGCCCATCCCGTTCGGGCTGCAGAACGCCGTCTTCGCGGTGAGTCCTGGCCCGGGAACAGGCTCCGGCTGGGAGAGCGGCTCTCGGGGTAGTGGCCCGTGTCGCTGGGGGAGGTTGCCGTTTTTCCCGGGAGAAGCCTTGTTTTCATTTCTGTTGAACAACGGCAAAAGCAACTCCCCTGCCTATGTTTGCTTATCGCTTTTCTGTGCTTGCCGAGGGATGGCAAGGCAGGTTTTCCAGGGAAGTGGTGGTAGGAGTTGGTCGCTGGCTCAGGAGACTGTGTTCGGGTGTTAGAAGCACCAAGGTGCTGTGTAGCAAAATCTACAGATGACAGTTTTGAAGTTCCTGTGTCTTTAAAGTGATCAGTGTGGGAGAAGAAGTTGTGTTTTTAAGCAGTCTTGACAGATGTCCCTAAGGTGCTTAATGTGAATACTATTGGAAAGAAGGAAACGTACAAATGAAACTTGCTCAGTTTGGTGGATGCTGTAGCATGCACCTGCCAATCCGTACAGGGTGACAAGGTCCGTGTGCTCCAGAGAGACCGCGTGTTTTGGGCAGAGCAGTAAGAGCTGAAGAGGGGCTGTGCACCAGAGTGGTACTGAAAGTTTAATCTAACTTGGAATTTGGAAAAGGGTTAGTCTTGCTTTTCTTTCTGCTTTTAAATTAAGATGGGTACATTATTTAAGAAGAAAGATTTTAAAATTTAAATAATTATGTTCTCTTTGATCACCCTTTTTGGGTACCATCATGTTGATTATAAGATCACAGTTTCAGACCCTTGCATCTTGCTGAGTGCTTTGTCTGAAGGCTCTGGGTTTGGCTGTGTTACACCTCAGTTGTGTATGCTAATTCAGTGAAATAAAGCAAGCAAGATTGTGAAATACTGTAAACTTCAACACTAATTCAAATGTAAGAGACCTTCCAAACAAGTGTTGGGGTCTGCCACTTTCTTACAGCACGTTTTCCTTCCCCCATCTGCAGTCCTGATCCTGCACTCTTCGGAGGCACTTGTGTAGTTTTGCCAGTGAGTAGGTCACTGAATGCAAAATTTGTTATTTAAGCAAAAAGTAATTACACAATTTTTAGAGGTTAACATCCACATTGAATATTTAAAATTGCTATGTATAGAACTGTGTGCTGGAGCATTTGTCAGCAGCTGCAATCTCTGCCTGTAAAAGCTGCAGCAACTTACTGTTTCTTTTTAAGCAGATCCCTTAGCTATTTTCTGGCTAAGAATGAGAAGAACCTCAGCAGTTTTATGTATTTGTTTACCTATATTACTGCAGAACTCAGGAAGCTTAGATCCCTGTGGCATCTCTGAGCATCCCTTGAAGCAGTCAGCAGTTGTTGTAGGGTAGTATTGGATCTGAAGAACTGACCAGAGAATTACTGTGTTAAAATAATTTCCTTCTTGGCATAACCATTCTGTTGGAAATACAGTTCAGCAGCGTGTTCAGGCCAGTGCAATATTAAAATGATGCTGTAAATCAGTTTTTCGTGTTCTCCAAGTACTGCAAGCTAAATAATTTTCTTTCCAAGTGGAATGTTTCAGTGTTAAAACAGCAGATAGGAAATTAGATTAAACCACATTCTCAAGTATGCCAGATAGCTTGGATGTTGCCTGCTAAAATTTGTTCAGGTTGCATTTATAACTTTGGATTTATTACTCTGCAGCATAGTCAAATAAAGTGCTGTGTGTTCAAATTATATCCAAGAAGATTTAATATGAACTACTAGGTTAATGAAAATTTGAAATGTTGCATGCAAATCTGGGAAGTCAAGGCAGTTTCTCACTGTGAGTCAAATTTAACCTATATGTATAATGCAAAATTCTGTCTATGCAGACCAAGCTGTCATTTCTCTGAAATCTGACTTATTTGAAAACTTCATGCCTTACTTAAGTATAGATTGCAAGGGGGCTGGGGGTGCCCTAATCATCTGTCTGTTCCCTGTTCTAGCAAATTCTGCAATTAATTTGAAAAGGATTGCTCTTAATAATAAAGGAAAGAATAGTGAATTTAAGAAAACTTAAGGCATCTTAAATTTTCCGGCAGTCTATGTGCATTTTCTATGTGCATATTTATAAGTAAACTGGAGATACTAAGAATACTTAAATGAGAGGGAATGGAGAAAGTGACACATGTGGTCTGGGGCAAGGTGTAACCTTGTTGTGAGAAGGGTCATCTGCAGGGCTGGGATTAATGGGTTTCTACAAGCA